TAAAGCGTTTGATAAGGTTGATCACAAATACCTTCTCTTTAAATTATCAAATTTGGGATTTGCTGGAAATATTTTGAAAGTTCAATCTTGAAATATCAAGTTACTTGAAAGCTATTTAATAGGTAGGAACCAATTTGTATCCTATAATGGTGTCATATCAGAATTAATCTTCACTACATCCGGTGTTCCACAGGGATCAAATTTAGGTCCATTGTTGTTCCTATTATATATCAATGATTTATTTTTAGGTATCAATAACAGAAAATTATGTTTTCCGATGATCTTAAAATATACTGTGAAATTAAAACAGTTGCTAACTGTATAGATTTACAGAACGATCTAAATTATATACATACGTGGTGTATAAAAAACAAACTTTTTCTTAATGTCAATAAGTGTTAAAGTAGTAAGTTATTCTAGAAAGGAAAAAATGTTGATTTTAATTATGTAATTCAGGGGTCAGATATTGAAAAATGTAATAGCATTAAAGATTTAGAAGTTATATTTCATTCAAAATTAACCTTTAACAACCATATTAAGCAGAAAGTATCCGATGCTATGAAAATGTACGGTTTTATCATCAGAAGCTGTAGAAATTTTAGCGATATAAGACTGATTAAACTGCTGTATATATCGCTAGTGCGAACAAAACTAAAATATTGTAGTTTAATTTGGTATCCCATTTATAAATGTTATATGCAACAGATTGAAAAGGTACAACGGAAACTTTTAAAATATTTAGCATTTAAGGTTGATGGAGTATATCCCGTACATGGTTATAACAAAATATGCAACCGTTGTGATATTTTTTCATGCTCAATTAATCATCTGATTGATAGCGCACTGGTTTATGGAGTAACTAAGATTGTTAATTTTTTTGTGTGTATTTTTTTTTCTTATTTACATAGTGATTTGTTTAGTTATAGTGTTCTCACTCTTTATTTTGTTTTTCACCTACTTAGTTTCTACATTTATTTTTTGTACTTAATATTTTTGTATCACCTACTGATGATTGTATACCAATTAAAAATGTATCTTAAATTTTTACCCTAGAAATGGGAAACTGTTGGGTAATAAAGCTATTATTTATTTATTTATTTATAGGCTTATCTACAAGAAAGTTAATTTAACATTATATGTTTACTTGATTAGTGATAGTAAAATTTCATAAAATATATGTATGCATGCTTTAGGTCTGAATTTTAAATCATGTTAAGTACCTAATGATGTTATTTGTAGACTTTTATATTAGAGTTGTATTTTGAAATTTAGATTTACTGGGTCCTAGGCGGGGTTTAGAGGGGTTTTACCTTCGCCATTGCACCAATAAGGCCCCCCCTCAAAGAATAAATTTTAAACATAGCTATTTAGTGTTTTATTTGATTTTCAATATTTATTTCCAGTAAACATTTGCTTAATTTTGTTCAAAAAATTTTTCACCTTATGGTGAAATCTAACACAATTTAGTTCAACTTTCTAGAAAGAAAAGTAGATAAAAGTCAAATTGGATATATACAGTATAGCCCAAAATAAACAGTACTGAATTTGTAATTATTTTATTGTTTTAAAAAATACATATTATTGACACTTTATAACATGTTCTAGATGAGCTCCTCCTCTCTCAAGACAGACTTCATATCGATATTCCAGATTTCTCGTAATGTTATGTAATAAAGGTTGTCTCAAGTCCGCGAAGAATGCTCTAACGGTATCCTTTAACTCATTGATGGTTTGTAGTGCCCGTCTAAAAACGGCAGTTTTAGCCATACCTTAAATGTATGCGTCTGGAGATATTAAGTCTGGAGAATGTGCAGGATAGGGGAAGTCACACACGATAAAATTGACGCAAATCAGAAATAAAGCGTGTTAAAATATGTATGTACCTCTTTTGACTAAGTGTGACTTGCCTACCATTTTCTTGAATAAAGTATAGACCAATGATTCCATGTCCCGAAACTGCCCACCATACACTCACTTTTGCGCTATGTAAAGGAACTTCTTGAACTTCATCTGGTCTGGCAAAGCCCAGAAATCGATTTGTGCGACGATTTACATGGCCTGACAAATGAAAATGTGCTTCGTCTGAAAACCATACATTGTATGATTTCCATACTGTAATGCAAGAATTCTGGCACAATATTCCATTCTATTGTGATAATCCCTGGGATGTAATTGTTGATGTACATAAATCACATACGGAAATGCATCCAGCTCCTTGAGGATTATTTGCAAGGAAGTTCGTTTTAAGCCAAGGTCCAACGCTGTTCTTGTCTGGCTGGCTTGCGGATTTTTCAAATCCGCTCAAAAACAAGTTCATGGTTATCGTTGTTGTTAATTGTCCTGAGACGCCCTGAGTTTCCTTTTCGTTGGCGCAATACATTACCCGTATTTCTAAACTTTTCAACAACCTTCAAAATTACAGCATTACTTGGAGAACGTTTATTAAACCATTGTGTGAATAGATCACACACGTATTGCAGACTTGCACTATTACGTCGGCCATTTACGTATGAGCGAAAATAATGCTCCACAAGAAACACTTTCTCCTCTGTACTTAACACCGTTTTTAACAATTAGGCTATAATAATTAATTGTTTAAGGTTTACTTGACAAGTCTAACCCAGTTAATTTGAATATGACAGCGCGCACAAAAAAAACATCTATAATTCAGTTTTAGTACTGTTTATTTTGGGCAATACTGTATAACGCAAGTTTTTGACAATAGCAATTTTTATTATAAAACAGTTAATGGAAAAATTTAAAGTGAAAAGGAAAGACTACATAATTTTTATTAAACTTGAGATGGCATATGCCTACAAAAAAAATTAAAACAATAATAGCTACATATTTAATAAAAAAAAAACAGCACTAGGATATCATAGTCAGCTTATTCCTAAAATATGTAGTACTAATACCCAAGTTACTATCGAAGGTGTGGGATGTGCATACTGAGATAACAATAATAAAAACAGTAAAATGTTTAAACTCAATTCCATCATGAGTATATACACAGCTGAATTAATAGCGATAGTGGAAGCACTAAAATATTTATCTAACAGAAATCGTTCAAAGGTTATAATTTATAGTGACAACAAAAGTGCTTTAAGTAAAATTAGTGCCATAAATCAAAAGTAAATTATGTTGAATTATATATAATCAATAAAATTAAAGAACTTCAGCAACAAGGCAAAACTGTTAAGTTGGCATGAATTAAAAACCAGTGTGGATTAACTGAAAATGAGATAGATGAATTGGCAAAAAACGCAGTGACACAAGGGGTATTAACTCATTATCTTTGTACTTGTAGAGATATAGAATAAGACACATTCAAAGAGCTTAAGAAGGAATGGAAAGAAAGATATACTGATGAGAATATAAATACAGGAAACCATTAGAGCAATCAGAAACCATATTACGGATAAATCTTGTTTTGCTAAAATGTAGTCGACAAAGGATATGACAAGAACTATATGCAAAATGAGATTTAACCACTGTCTTACACCATCATATATGTTTAAAATGAAGCTAGCTGATAGTCCACAATGTACTTGTGATCGCAGATGCGTAACCTACAACATAAAATTTTGGACTGTTCTCTTATTTCCAATAAGGTTAATAATCTTTTAAATTCGCTGTATTCTTTGACTGATGTCCACCATCCCATTAATTTAAGTTATTTATTACCATTAGAAAATAATGAGTTTTTATATATATTATTGTATAAACATGTTTTAGATATTGAACTCAATTTGTAATTGTAAATATATAGTAAGAATTTCTTTGTAATTTGTTAGAAAAAAAAAATTAAAAAATATGTAAGAAACAAATGAAAAAAAAAAGAAACTTGGACAGTCCACAGTAAAGTGCAGAACAGTTTACTGTGCAACTCTGAGGACCTCATCACTTATTTTATATATAAATAACTAAAAGCACGTAATAGAAAAAAAGGCTATATATTAGAGCTCAATACTAATAATCGATTTAGGATAAGATTGTATAGGAAATAATGACTAATGAAAAAATGAGTACGACAAATTGTAAGATTGGGTTGGCGAATGGATTTAGTGTCCGCAGTCATTTAAACACAAACAAACAACAATACCCAACTTACATTTTAATAAACATGAAATCTGCCAAATTTTAAATTAATATACATCTACCGATAAATCACAGCAAATGTACCTTGTTATTTTCAATATAGGAAAATTAAAGACATTTCAAATAAAACTAATAAGTCTGCTTAATCCACAAACCATACATACTCCATACAAGAGAGTATGTATGGTTTGTGGCTTAATCCTAAAATACGAATATTATTCTCTTCCTACTAATCATTTTCAGTTCAATAAATATTAAACCCGCCAAATTTTAAATTAAGATACGCCCACCCACCAATCACAAGCAATTACAGCAAATGTATTATATGGTTGATTGAATAATCCATCAATCAACGATTATATGTACCTTGTTATTTTGACGGTAACATGCAGTAGTTTATTATACCATGGGCACAGTATAGCGCTTTAAAAAAAATTCTTTTTAAAGCACTATACTGTGCCATGGGTAACATGGACGTATAAACACAGATATAATATAATCTCACACAAGAAATGTGCTGGCAGATGCACTTGTGTGCAAGCCAAAAAGACGAAGTACGAAGTGAAGTTGCTGCCAGTGGTGAAGTGAAGTAAAGTCTTTGTCGTTGTCATTACACAAGTGACGTTTGACGCGTTTATCTTGAATTTGAAAATAAGCTTTACTTTATTTATGTTATTTTATTTATTCACTTTTCTTTATTCTATTCAATATATTTATGTTTCAATAAGGAAAAAATGATTTATACTTCGATTAGCTTAAAATAATAAACGATGTGCATTTCTTCAATTCGAACATTAAGGATATAAAAGAGTTGTGAAAGCTGTAAACAATATAACCTCTTAATTTTAAATTAACGGAAATTTTTCTCCAGAAAACTTTTAAAAATAAATACATTTGTCGCTATGGAGGGGTCTAATAATGGCAGTAGTTTAATGAACCAATCGTCAATATGTCTAAAGATGAGAGAATTAATTGAAGCTATAAATGAGTATACAAAGAACCGAACAGGAAGCAGTGCTCTAGTGATTAACAAGTTCCTACAGGTAAGAATTCTGTATTTGTACTGAAATTTCTTTAAATTTATATTTAAAATGGGAACAATCATTGCCCTGACATTTTAAATTAAAATTCGTGAAAAAAAAAAATGTGAATTTGGAAGAAATTGCAAAGGATATAGTGCCTCTATATTTTTGTAGTAATCATTTTATATTTCGAATGATTAACAATGTGATCACTTCTAATTTTGGAGATAATACCTATGTCATTATGTATTTTATTCCTTCTTTACTCACTAATGAATTAAAATAATGTGTATGCTATAATAAAAAATAAATGACACTATATTTTAAAACGCTTTTTTCCTGGTTTAGGCATACAGTGTGACAATAGATGTCAGTGCTTTTGATCCAGAAAATGGACTAGGTGCTCAGTTTTATGTGAGCCTGCATAATCTTTTTACTAGTCTAGAACCTGATTCTGACATGGCTTGGAATTGTGTAGATGTCTTGTGTAATGCATGCAGAAATGCCTCTGCAAGACAAGCTCTTATAGAAACCTACCAGTTTGTGCCAATGTTATCAAAACTTTTGAATGACCAACTCAGTACTTGTAAGAAGAAAAAGTTGTTGGTTCTTTTACAGGTAAGTTCATTCTTTATATGTGTATCACAAAGTACAAACTCCTGTAAGTAATTCTGCATATTTTTTAAGAGTAGATTAACTACATTGAGATTAAGACATATTGAGTATTTAAATTAAATTTTCCAGTAGATAAATAGATAAGATTGGAAAATCCTTAGAGGCAGAAAAAAACTCATTAATGTAATCTGAAATAACAAAACAAAAACAGAACCATAAATATGTTTAGCAATGCTCTGAATTTTGTTAATATCGGATTAAGCCAAAATTATTGGTTGCGATGAAAATCACATTTTTAACTAACTAATGTTTTGACCTTTCGATTTTTTACTCTAGACATCATTTTCAAAAAAAGTTTAATTAGTATAAAAATATAGTCTTTATGGTTACCCAAAAATATTGTTTATATATTTCTCAAAATTTGTATAATAATCTTTTTTTGAAAACAATTTTTGGAGTGGAAATTGAAACATCAAAACATGAGTTAGTTAAAACATGTGATTTTCATCACAACCAATCATTGTAGCTTAATCCCATATAAACATAACATTTGAAATGAATGTTATATAAAAAACTTTACAATGAAAACTTTATTAGGCTTGTTACTAGAAGAGGAAATTAATGTTGATGGCAACATTAAAATCAGAACACAAGAAATCAGGGATAACATCTGTGAATTAAAAAACAGAAAAGCCAAGAAAAAGACCTGCTGATATAAAAAATAAACTACAATACAGTGGAAAATGGTAATTGATACCAAAGAGGTACTTTTTTTTAGGAAATCTTAATAGAAACTATGTACCAGATCAGACAAAACTCTTTAAGTACTGTAGTCCATTTGCTCAGCTTGGAAATATGATAGATTCAATGTTATAAACACAACAAAATAATTCTTACCTCTCACTATTAATAACTCAACTAAACTTACTGGTACAGACTTCTTTCATTGAAAAAAGAAAAATGATGATGAAAAATGGAAATGTAAAATCATTAATTTTGATTAAAAATATTATATTCATTATATATCATATTTTATCATCATATATCAAAAATATAACACTTCCTTTATGATTTTCACAGCTCAAAAAGCTTTGTTATTCATCTAAAATTAATTATAGCACTGTGATTATTCATCATATGTGGCATTACAGCTCATTATGAGCCATAGCCTTCTCTAGAACTATCTTCCACTCACCCCTGTCTCTGGCAACTCTTCTTCATGCTTTAACTCCAATGGATTTTAAACCATCCTCTATGTTATCTCGATACCTAAGTTTTGGCCTTCATATGGCTCGATTTCCCACCAGTCCTCGTCAGTTGAAAATTTTTCTGATTGTTACATCTTTATCTCCCCTAATTACATGTCCTATCCATCAAAGGCGTGCTAATTTAATACATTTTACAACGTCAGGCTCCCCAAAACTTTGTTTATTTATTTAATACATGGGATAACCCCATTAACAGTTTAACCCTTTCAGTCACAGTATTGTCAATTGATGACACAAGACTTTTAATTTTGTTTAAGTAAATATTACAGGATGTTATGGTATAGCAACAGTGTAGTTATCTCACAACATCCAATATTAATTATATTAACGACCCTTAATACAATCTGTTAATTCCAGTTGAACTAAAGCAGTTTCTCTGTTTACATTCACAATGGTTTATGAAAGCTATAGATGCTACTAAAACTATTATATTTTTTTATCCTTCTAAAACTGAGATAAATTCTGTTCTTTTCAAATATTGGGAGCTTCTAGGTGCAAATAATAAAATTAGATAGTAAGTACACTTCAAAATTTCCATAATATGTCAAATTATTTTTTTGAAATTATATGTCGTCCTTTGACAACATCGTAACTCAATGACTTGAGTAATAAACATTTTCACAGTTATTATTAAATCTAAAAATAAGTCAAATAAAGAGATTTAGTTTAAGAAACTAGATTTAGTTCATTTTAGGGCCTATATTGCAGAAGCTTTAATCTCATGTCCGCATAGGAGCTAGAAAAATAGAGCGCCCATCAAATAGAAGCAAATCAGAACCATTGAACAATAAAAAGAATTGGGAAAACCGGCCTATTGATGATGTAAAGTTTGACAGGATACCGCATTTTCCATTGTATGTAGAAACGAAATCTCAAGATGTAAATTCCCAGAATGTAAAGGCAGTTCCTGTATTCTTTATCAAACATGTAAAGTACATCAACATCTATGTTTGACAAAAAATAAAATTATTTTTAACAATGTCATAAACCGAAATTTTGTTTAATATATTATAATCATTAAATAATATATTTTTTAAGTAAATAAATGTATTTTTATCCTAAGGTATAGCTGTCAAATTATATGTCATACTCATTAGTTTGTAACCAGTTAGTCACAATGTCGTCAATTGACGACATCAAAAAACGAGCCTTATTTTAATAAAAAAATGGTAATATTCTTACCAAAAGACGTTAAGAATACCATAACTAGGTAAGAATTATTAACAAAATATTTTTCATTGCAATAAAAAAAAAAAGCGTGACCGAAAGGGTTAAATTACAAGATACAATATCACAGTTAGGATTCAAAACTTGACATTACTTATAATATGAAATCAATATCACAGTTTAAAAGATGAAACTAAAAATATAACACAAACAAAATTCAACAATACAAATATACTTATCACACAGCAAGAGATCTTTTTAACTAAGTTACAGTTATATGGAAAATATCAAAATCAAGAATATTTAATAGCCCCATGTATCTATACTATGGTGTTCTGTGGAAAGGAATATTGAAAACATTGTTGTAACATAGAGCTTGATGGGGAACATTAAAGTTAATCTGGCTTAACAGGTTTGGACAATCAATAAATTCATGTATGATATATAAACATAGCTCCTGACATATCACAACAGTTCTTGAGTGAGGATAAGATAAGTGTCAGATCAAATAGAAATAGAGTTTATGTGGTCACATAAAATAAGCTTCTTGTCAAAAATTACACCCAAATCTGGAATAGAACATTCAGTGGCTGATTATTAATAGTATAGCTTGTTTTAATTCTATTGACTTTACGAGAAAAACTTATAAAACAATTTTTTTTACTTTTTAAGTGGAGTTTGTTCTGATTACACCAATTTTGTAGTCTGTCTAAGTCATCTTGCAACAAGTCTTGATCTTTTAATCTATCTATAACTTTAATCTATGTTGATTCTTCGACTTCTACCAGATGTAGAGTTTTTATTCCATTCAAAAACCTGGCATGAAAGCCTACATCAATTAATTCACCCAAAAGTATTTGGTGATCTAGGTACATGATCAAATGCTTTAGAAAAATGTATATATTGCATCTACCTGTTTACAGTCTTCCATTTGAGATAATATATCAGATATTTATTTGATAGCAAACCAAGTTTGTTGCAGTGGATTTTTTGCTATGAAAACCATGGTCTGATTGATATGTTCAGCCTTTATATAGCCAAGAAAGTTGCTTTGCTATAAAACAGTTGAAAAGTTTAGGGATTGCAGATTGTATACAAATGCTATGATAATTATTTTCAATGTTGTCTTTCTAACCATTTTTAAATATAGGAACAACATAACTTTCTTTCCATGAAGAAAGAAACATATTTCCAGAGATGTAATAGACAATATAACAAACAGCATTAAAAGTGAACAGACACACTTTTTTAATAAAAAATTAGGCACTCCATCTGGGCCAGCAGTAAGCTTATTGGGTAGCTAATTTATGCCATTAAAAATATCGGTTATGGTAATCTTAGAAAGACAAGTATTTGTACTAAAGTTGCTATTTAATGGATAGATAGGTACATAAAGATTGTTGTTATTTGGTGAATATACAATTTGGAAGTTCATAAATAAATTACCTATGTCTTGACCATTTGTTGCAGATTGGACTTGATAAAATAAATAGTTAGGTAGGTTATGACTAGATCACTTATCATTGATGTACTTCCAAAAATATTTTGGATCATTTTTTAGGCCAGTATCTATACCTTTGATATAGTTACTGAAGCAAATTTCAGACAGTTGTTTACATTCAGCTCTTAGGTGGGAAAATCTAATATAGTCATTATCAGAATGATTATTAACATAAATATAGTAAACATATTTTTTCTCCATAGTCAGTCTTCTAAGATCAGCAGAGAATCACTTGGGAAAAATTGTTCTACATTTCCTCAATGCCACATTCCTATAGAAGAACTTAATAGAATATTTTGTATTATCATCAATATACCATACATACCTGCCTTACTTACTTACTTACTTACTCCTTGGCGTTACAACCCTTCGTGGGTTTTGGCCGACTCGACAACATGCCTCCACTGCATACTGCTACTGCTACATACATACTGCTGCATACATACCTACCAGTCTATGGAATCAAGGGAGTTGTTAAGCACTATGTAATTGCCATTCCGAAAATCATAAAATAACTCATCATAAATGAACTTATTTCTATTTGTTTCTTTCACATTGAGGTTTAAGCAACATTCATAACATACATGATGGATGCTAGGATCTATAAGGGGATCAATGACTTTTAAGATATTTAGCTCCCTAACATTAGAAAAAAATACATTACAATTATTGGGAATATTATTATGTTGATACAATTTTAAAAAACCAAAGATTATATATATATATATATATATATATATATATATATATATATATATATATATATATATAGTCCCAAGATTCCTAAGAGGAACATAGGGCTTCCACAAAGTGTCTCCAGCGAACTCTATTTCTGGCTAGTGCTTTGATTTCAAGCCAGGATTTTCCCATTTTTCTCCCTTCGTCCAGTACTGTCCTTCTCCAAGTTCCCTTAGGTCTGCCTATTTTCCGTCGGCCTTGGGGATTCCAATCCAGCGCTGTCCTGGCAATGTCATTTGGCGGTCTACGGAGTGTGTGGCCCAGCCATCTCCATTTTCTTCGCCTTATTTGCTTTATGACATTTTCTTGGTTGCTTTGGTTCCATAAAT